GGGGCCCGCGGGCGCGTCCCCCCGGCACGGTGGCGCGTCGGGAGCTCCGGAGCGCGGGCTTGCGTAACGCCGTGCTGTGACCGGAGCGGAGCAGGGGAAAGCGGGGAAGGACAATGCCGCCGCGGCCGCCGCCACCTCCGGGGCTCGTTCCCCGCTGCCCACCGCCTTCCTGCAGCTGCTCTCTTCGGGGACGCGGCTGGAAGGCGCTCACGGCCGCTGGGGGGCTCCCCAGCCACTTCCCGCCTGCCGTCCCCAAAGGCGCGTCCTCACGGAGGCGTTGTCTCTGTTCCTGGTGTTCAGGGCGGCCAGTGTCACCAGGGACAAGCCAGGCTGGGACCGCGGCAGGAGCGGTAGCCCTGCCCGTCCGGATCGCACACCAGGCACCGGTGTATTTGCAGACCGGTTCTGGTAAAACCCAGCTCGATGCTGGTGGAACACGGTTTTCTCCCAGGCTCTACATCCAGTGCTGCACGAGTGCCTTTGAGTGGATTTTTAGGGAGAGGTCCTGGCTGTGGCACCGGCTGGAGGGACAGTAGTTGCTGAGTGACCCAGCCACGGGACAAGGAACTGGGTTTTAGTCAAATTGGAGGGAAGACCTGTCCCGCTGAGGATCCCATGCTTCCCAGCTGGGCTGACGGCAGTGGGAGCTCTGTAGTCCCCAAAGCCACCATGACTGGTTGTTTGTGCTGTGCTGAGCAGCTGCAGATCCTGACCAGGCTCCTGGTCTGTCATGGTGTGAGTCTCCAGGTGCAATACAGGGTGAGGAGCCCCCTCCTCATCTGGGTGACTTTTGGGTTCCCAGCAGTCCACTGTCCTGGAAGATTCCCAGGGTGGCACTGCGGCAGCCAGCATGGAGACAAAGATCGCTGTGAAGGGGACCTGGCAGTGATCCCATATCAGTCAGGGCAGCTCATCCCTGCTCCCCTCAATGCAGCGATGCCCCAGCTCCCTGTGCCCCCAGCAGGTGGTTCTTTGACTGGCAGCAGTGGGAAGGGGAGCTGGCAGCGCTTCAGTGGCTTGGCCACTGCCTTGCCGGGCAAGAAATGTTAGTGACGTTTGGAGGTAAGAGGGAGGGAAGAAGGCACAGCAGGAGAATGAGAAGCCTGAGCAGCAGTTTTCCATTGACCCCTTATCAGCATCCTAACATGTGGGAGTGGACCTACCATCCTCCCTTGGTGGGCACAAAGGCCTGGTGCTGGGTGCAAGTCACTTAGTAACATAATTACTATACCTTTTTTATTGCCCCCCTACCTTTGTTGGTGTTTTTAGGTCTGGGCAGTGACCTGACAGGCTGGCTATGATGTCTCTTCATGGTGCAAGAGTTGCTGCTTTCCTTGCTTGGGTAAGTCCCCCCTCCTCTGCTGGAGCTCACTGCATAGGTGGACATGCTGCTGCCAGCACTGGCAGCTTCAGGGCACGATGCTGGGGCTTGTCACAGGAGGGATTGTGGCTGGGGCAGGTCCTAGGGTAGCCCAGTTGCTACTCTTCCTGGGAAGGTGGGTATTTCCAGGAGAAGCCTTGCTCACCCTTCCTGTTGAGGAAACAGAAATGCTGGAACGGCTTGGTCTGGTCATGGAAACTGCCTGGGAGATGGAACTGAGCCTGAAGCAGCTGTAGTGTAAAGGAGTTGATGGATCTGTCTCACAAAGCACTGCTGTGTCCAAGCAAAAACTCATAAAATGGTTTGGGTTAGAAGGGACTAAGGGACTTCTAAGCTCATTCAACTGGAATGCCCTGCCATGGGCAGGGAGACTTCCCACTAGACCAGGTTGGTCCAAACCACATCTAGCCTAGCCTTGAACACTTCCAGGGATAGGGCAGCCATTCCCTGAACAACTCTCACAGGGAAGAATTTCTTCCCAATATTCCATCTAACCCTGCCCTCTGTCAGTGGGAAGCCATTCCCTCTTGTCCTGTCACTCCAGGCCTTTGTCCAAAGTCTCTCTCCAGCTCCCTTGGTGCCCCTTTAGGCACTGGCAGGGGCTCTGAGGTCTCCCTGGAGGCTTCTTTTCTCCAGGCTGAACACCTCCAGGTCTCTTAGCCTCTCCAGAGAAGAGGGGCTCCAGCAGGGTGATAAATGGCACCTGTGCCAGACTCCAGATGTGGAGCTGTGGGGATCACATTCATCTGTTCCCTGGGAAGGGGTGGTTTGAAGGGGTAGATTTATTTTCACACCCAGACCAGTTGTGCTGTCCCCAGCCAGGACTGGAGGTGGTGGGTGGCACAGCACAGTGTTGTCTTGGTTTCTGCCTTCTGACTGTGCCACCCCATTTCTAGGTGAACAGCACAAATGTTTGTCCTGACCCCCTCAATGATCTGTCCCAGCTCCAGGACTGTAGTGTCTTCATCAGAATTATCCACAAATGTGGGAACTGACAGTGGTCAAATAAGAGATTTTCAGGCCTCAGGCACTAGCTTGAGCCTATAGGAAAGTACACAGCTTCCTCACTCTGGCCTGGGAAATCATAAGGAGGAATCCGGACAATCCTTGGAAGGTGAAAAACTGTTAGAAAAAGGTGGTGTTTTTCTAACTTGTTATTTACTTGGAAATAACAGTCAAGGGGTGTTGTTCTAAATGACCAATCATATTCATTGTACCAAAGTGCTGTATAAAAAGAGTGTGTTTCTAATAAACCTTCGATACATGTACTCCAATGAAGGCTTGGAGTCTCGTGTTGTTATTTTGCCGTCCCAATTTGTATCAATACACAAAGTGTGAGTATGGGGAGCTGTGTGCACATTTCAAACCACACAGCTGGGTCTGGGCTGCCTCCTGGAGCCATAGCCTCAGCCCCCAGGAGACGAGGGTCTCTCTTGTTGGGCTGTGGGGGAGTCTTGGGGTATTTATTCCTCCTCTGGCACATGAGATGCTGGGGTCTCCATCTCCTCTGTGCTGCTGCACAGCTGGGGTCTGTGCAGAGCTGCTGGGTCCTGCAGAGCAGGGAATGTTTTGGTCAGAGTTCCTGTCATTTGAGACTTGTTATCACATCTAGCACTTAACATCTGGCTTTGCTCCTGAGATTGAAGAAAAGATCCGAGTGCTGCTGCCGGCGGCACAGGGGTTCCTGCAGCTGCACAGGAGATTATTCATTTCTGTTGATGCTGCTCTGCTGAGGGAACAGGCCAGAAGTTTTCCTGAATGGCAGCCTTGGGATCCTGAAGAAGCCTTGTGTCTGGAAAGCAGTGTAAAGAATGACAGTTTCTGCCTCATGAAGTGCTTCTGTTACCTGGGGATGTCAGGCTGCTGCCGAGTATAGAGTGGTCAGGATGTGTGTGCTGTCCTGGGACCTGAGGTGGCTGGGCAGGGGTGGGAGGAATGCCTCCTTCGGGAATTGTGTTTGTTGCCTGGGAGCAAGGGACAGCTAAAATCTACAGGCCATAATGGGCATCAGAGGTGGGATGAAGCCTGCTGATTAAGGAGCTGGTGAAACAAATTGAGAGGGTGTGAGGCTGCCATGCGTTGCTTTCAAACCCTGCAGTGGGAGGCTGGGAGCCTGTGTGTGCTAATTACCTGTTTTCCGGCACTGCGCATGTGCCAGGGGCGGCAGCGGTGAGGGGAGCGCCTGGCCGCGCCCCTCTCCAGCCCTTGGGAGGAGGAGAGACCTGTTTTCGTGTTTGGGCTCAGTTCTTTATTTTTCCTTATCTATATTACATATTTACATAGTACAAGGAGCTATATATAGTAGGGTAAAAGGGTTCAAAATGGCTGAAGAAGTATCTTTTCAAGGTCTTTTAAGCGTCAGCTCATCCAATAATGAAATGCCAAATAACTTATTTTCATTATTAAGCCAATAATCTGACACATGTGTCCTTCGTCAGGAAAATTAATCCACAAACACCAGAGGTTTATGTCCAAAAAGGAGACAGAGGAGTACTTTTATTTTATTTGAATATAGGGAGAGGCCATGGGGCATTCCCCTGGGGTCTCTCAAATTTTTGGAGGGCACAGCCTCCTTTTTATCCTAATTTCCCAGCTGCATGTCCCTCTCTCTTTCCCCATAGGCTGAGGTACTTGAGAGGTACAGACTTCCTGAAATGCCTGATACCTAAGATTCTCCTCTAATGTATAACCCTTCCTCTTAATTTTTAATTCTTACGGAATTTATGGTGTTTCCCCATTGTTTCTTTCATCTTTCAATATCCAATTTCATCAGCAAACCTACAGTTTGTTTGTAAAGGCAAATATCTCCTATCCATTCAGCAATTAGTGGAATCCATCTTACTGTTTATTTTATCTCTCAGTGCTAGTTTTATTTACCAGCAGACCCACAGCTTGTTTGTAAAGACAAATCTGTCATTCCTCTCACCACCCTTCTTTTAATTTTTAATAATTGCTTTTACAAACTTTAGTTATCATTGACTTAATTTCTTGTTCCCGTGTCTTTTTTGGTTTTGCAATTATTTGCAGTGACATCACTCTCTGCCCTTTTGTAGCCATCTCTAGATCAGTAGGCATGGCTACTGCCTGCATCCCTTTGATGCAAGGGATCATACATGATAAAAATAACTAGACCTGCTAAAACACATAAGAGGAAAAAAAGCATTTGTTTAACCCATAGTCTACCAGGTAACCATGAAAACACATGTCCCATTCCCATCCTTTCCGTGTTTGGACCGGTACCTGAGCTAACTTCCTTATTCCTTTTGTTATTTATTTCACCACCTTTCCATTGTCATCTATTTGCAAACAGCAGTTTGAGTAATCTAATTTGCCACACACTCCCTCTTCTGCTAATAAATAGTCTAATACCATCCAATATTGAAATGTTGCATTTCTCATCTGAGTAGACTGGTCAGCAAGAAGGTCAAGAGCTGTAGTTCTCTGGTTGATTTTCTCCCTCCAGCCAGGGATGCATCAAGTGACCGCTTTTCTTTAATTAGATTATCATATACTTTGATTCTTAACTGATTTTCCTGAACTTGTGGTAGCAGAAAGAACAATGGTCTAATATACCCCACATAACATATCCCTGACCAGTTTGGGGGTAGCCTGCAGTAAGCATATTGGGCACAATTCCAGTAATGCCCCTTTAAAGCCCAGATCTCATTGGCAAAGGGACTTTCCCAATTTTTATCATCAACTGATGGGTCAAAATACAGCTTACTTCCAGGGCCTAGTGGTCCCCCAACAATAGTTGCCTCACCATAAGAATCACAATATTTGCATTTCCAAGCACCCGTATAAGGTCTCCACTTGCAGTCACATCCCAGATCTGTTTTCTTAGATCTGGACCAGAGCCTACTGAAAAGGGTTTGGGTTCCATTCTGGTGTTGCCACTTTCACTGATAGTCACAGACAACATGTCTTACTTGTGGAATTATCTCAGGGGCTGTGGGGGCCGAAGAATCAGCCAGCAGGAGTGTGGTACTCCCCTGAAGAGCTTGTCCTTAGGCAAGGCACTTCTATAGTGAGAAAGTGTCCCTCCCAGAGACCTTTGTGAGTTACATGTAAATCAGTTGTATCCTATTGGTTTTCTTCCCATCACTCTACCCTGTTAACTGTATCCCAGTTTCCACCCCGCCCCTCTTTTTCCCTATATAAACCCCAGTTTTTCCTCGTTCAAGAGGAGCTGCTGTCACTGGCTCCCTTCACAGAGGACCCTGCTTTTAATAAAGGCCTGTTCTCTGTGGTAATGCCACACAGTGCTCTGAGTCCCTCTCTGTGTCACCTGAGAGCTGCCACTGAGCCTGAGCTGAACATCACCTGCCAGGCTAGGGATGTGCCTGTGCCCCTGGGCCATCTTTTTAAAGGCCCTTCTTCAGGGAGGTCACGGCACCCCTACCATCCATCCCGCTGCAGCAGGGGAAGCTTAAAAATATGGGGTCAAAAAACTTATCTTTCTCTGCTGCTTTACAGCCTTCAAAATCCTTTTGGTAATTATGGAAGAAACACCTTACACAGCTACCATTAGCGAGCTTAACATGCATTTGATTCCATCTGCCTCAATATCTGGAACAATCATAAGGAGTTGGGGGTCCAACAATGTAAACCCAAAGATAAAGTCCAGTTGCAAATGCTTTTTCCCCATGTATATTCTTCCTGTTCTATTTAGACAATAAATGCCCCTTTCAGAAGAATAAAGCTGCCATGAACTTCTTTCTTTGTCCCAAAATCTTGTTCCATTATGGACTTCATTTAGGGTGCTAACCCAGCATTTAGGTTCGACTGGGCTGGCCACCCATGGTCAGTTTTCAGATCCCCCTGGCCTTCTGCACACCCAACAATTGCTAAGGTTAAAGGTTTTTTACTGTTTCTTTTCCTAAGGTTAAAAAATTATTTTCCCACTTTTAGCTCAAACTTAACTGACAATATAAAGGTAAGATTATTAAGAGAAACATTCAAATAGTTTAATAATCTAATTTCCACAGGCCACAGGCAGCTGGGGCGTCCTGCAGCCTCACAGGGCCGGCAGTCGCTGCCCCCCCGCCCAGGGCTGGCGGTGTCGGGCACTGCCCGGCACTGAGTCCCAGCAGCTCCACAGGCCCCCAGCCCGTGCTCCCAGTCCCACACCTCCATGCCTGGTCCTGCTGCTCCTTACCTCAACTATATCTCTCCACACTCTCCTTTAACCAATTCTATTCCAACACAACAACACAATCCATCCATCCCCTGTCGTCAAGACCCCTTCTCAACTCCCCTTATTACCCCCCCGGGCATGGAGTGTCAAGACCCCTTCTTATTGCCCCCTTTGGGCATCTATGTCTTTAATTGCCTTTGTGAGAATGTGTAAACCAACTCTACATTCTTTCAAGGGATTCTTTGGAGATATTTTGGGATCGTCATCACTTTTGCTGGGGCCCCTTCCCAGCTGTACCCTTGCAACCCTCTATGGGTGCCTTATTTTACCTGTGCTACCCTCCATAGGTGCCCTCCCTGAAGATCCCATTTTACTCACTGGTGAGATTTTCAGTGGTCCTTCTCTTTGGACTCTTCATGGACTCCCCTGGTCTGCCACTCGTCTGTCTCCTGGACAGTCTCGGGAACCCAATCGATTGCCCGGTGCCGGCCGCCACCGAGGGGAGCTGATCACCAAAACTGGGTGAGGCGCGCCTTCAGCTCCGCTCGCTGCCCGCCGCCCTGGATGGTGGAAATATCCCGGACGAGCCCCCAGAATGGCCAGGAAAATTAATCCACAAACACCAGAGGTTTATGTCCAAAAAGGAGACAGAGGTACTTTATTTGAATAAAGGGAGAGGCCATGGGGCATTCCCCTGGGGTCTCTCAAATTTTTGGAGGGCACAGCTTCCTTTTTATCCTAATTTCCCGGCCGCATGTCCCTTCTCTCTTTCCCCATAGGCTGAGGTACTTGAGAGGTACAGACTTCCCGGAATGCCTAATACTGGACATTCCCCTCCAGGCACAATCCTCCTCTTAATTCTTAACTCCTGTGGAATTCATGGTGTTTCCTCAGTGTCCCTTTCATCCTTCAGTGGAATCCATGCCATTGTTTCTGTTATCTCTCAGTGATAGGAATGACATGTTTATCTTCACAAACAAGCTGTGGGTCTGCTGATAGGATGAAACTCTCAGGGTGATGGTGAATTCTCCAAACAGCAACGAGAGCCAGCGTCTTGCTCTCAAGCTGAAGAAACCAGCCAGCCCCCAACTGCCCCTGCCCTCCCCCTCCCTTGCCTCACTTCCCCCCTGGGCCCAAGCCAAACTCTGTGTTTCTCAAGCACCCACTAAGTACCAGCCATCAAGTTTTCCCTGCAACTAATGGCAAAAAATTCTATGAGAATGTGAGAAAGAGCAAAAGGAAGGACACCTAACCCCTAACAAGATCCAATACAGTCTCCCTGCTCTTGTCTTTTTCAGCTGGAGGAGCTGAAGCAGGAGGTGTCCAGCCTCAAAGCCAAAGTGGAGGAGAAGCAGCAGCTGGAGAGCTGTGTCACCAGCCTGCAGAGCTTCCTTTCGGAGAGCCACCAGGCCTGAGAGAGGCTGAAGTGAGACCTGCAGGCACAGGCTGCTGAGGGCCAGGCTGAGCAGCTGGCTGCCCTCAGTGTCCAGCATGAGCAGACCCTGCGGGAAAGGGACTCTGCCCTGCAGCAGCTCCAGCAGGCCAACACATCCCTGAGCAGCCAGCTGCAGGCCGTGGATGAGGAGAAGGCTGCACTAAGCCGCAAGATCAGCGAACTGGAAGCCCAGATCCTGGAGCTGGGTGCCCAGCGGCAGCAGGGAATGGCAGCAGAGGCACTGAAAGCCCAGCTGCAGGAGCTGGAGGGCAGGCTAAAGGAGAGCCAGCAGAAGCTGGCCGAGAGGGAGAAGCTGGCTTGGGAGAACAGCTGCCTGCAGGAGCAGCTGCTCTTCCTGGAGGAATCCCTGCGGAACACTGAGGGTATACTGGAGGATGAGAAGAGGCGGGCAGCTGAGTGCCTGGAGGGCAACCTGGCCAGGATCGCTGAGCTGGAGGCAGAGAGACAGCAGCTGGTTCAGGACCGAGAGCCAGCTCTGTCGAAGCGGAGTGAGGAGCTGGCCACATGCCAGGTGCTGGAGGAGAGCCGAGAGCAGCCCATGGGAGCCTCTCCTGCTCCCCGAGGGGAGGATGAAGAGTGCAGGCGGCTGAAGGAGGAAATGCAGGCGCTGAGCCGGGAGCACAGCCGGGCCTGCCAGCAGCTGCAGGCTGAGCAGGAGAAGGTGGCTGTGCTGGAGGCCCAGGCAGAGCGACTGGCTGCCCTCCAGGCTGACCTGTCCAGCGCTCAGTCATGGGCAAAGGAGAAGGAGAGTGAGGAGCAGAAGCTGAGGGCCGAGATTTCCTCCCTGCAGGAGAAGATGGCTGTGGCAGAGCAAACAGCAGCCCAGCGTGTGGCCAAGCTGGAGGCAGATGCCCAGAGAGCTGCTGAGGCACTGGAGGGAGTCTCCCAGCAGCTCTCCCAGGAGAAGCTCAAATCCAAGGAGCTGGAAGGCACCATGGATCAGCTGCAGGCAGCAGAGAAAGAGCTGGTGTCCCTCCGCTCTGCCATGCAGGAGAAAGAGAGCTGGAAGGAGCAAGTGTCCCAGTGTGTCCAGGAGATGGAGAGGAAGAACAGTCTGATCAGCAGCCTAGAGCATGAGGTCTCCATCCTTCATCGTCAGGTGATGGAGAAGGAAGGAGAAAGCAAGGAGCTGAAACGCCTGATCCTGGCTGAGTCGGAGAAGAGCAAGAAGCTGGAGGAGAGGCTGCGGGTGCTGCAGACGGAGATGGCCACCGCAGCCTCCCGTGCAGCTGAGAGGTGCTCACTGATGAAGGTGGAGGTGCAGCGGTGCCAGGAAGAGATGGAGAAGCAGCGGATGACCATCGAGGCCCTGAAGAGGGACCGCCATTGCCAGAGCGAGCGGGAGGATGAGCTGCGGCAGGAGGCAAAGGTCTGCCAGGACAAGTGCCTACAGAAGGAGCAGCTCCTGGCTGCCCTGCAGCAGGAGCTCGACAGTGCTCGGGCCGAGCGTGTCTCCCTGGAAAGCCGGCACCGCCAGGACCTGGAGCAGAGAGCAAAAGCCGTGTCTGCACTGCAAGCCGAGCTAGCGCAGGCCAAGCTGGAGGTGGCTGAGGTGCCGTCACTGCGGGAGCAGTTGGCAGAACGGGACCGGGCCATTCAGCGGCTGCAGGCTGAGGCAGCAGAGGCGGGGGCACAGCTGGCAGGGCTGCAACAGACCAATGCTCGGCTGGCCGAGGAGAACCAGGGGCTCAGCAAGAGCCACAGCCAAGGGCAGCAGCAGCTTGAGGTGGAACTAGGCCAGGCCAGGGAGCGGCACATGCAGGAGCTGGAGCAGCTGCGGGCAGCGTCTGAGAAGCTGGTGACCAACAGCAGGCAGGAGGCTAAGGAAGCAGTACAGAAGCTGGAGGATATGAGTAAGGAGTATGAGAGCAGCAAAGCAGCAGCCCTAGAAGAGAAGAAGCAGCTCCTGGAAGAGAAGCAAAGACTGACAACTCAGGTAGGGGTTCCACTCCCAGCAGGAGGGCTGTGGGTGGGGGAGCCCTCCTGGAAAAGGGGTTCAGCCTTCTGCACACCCCTGTGTCGCTAAAGGACACTAAATGATTCACACAAACTCTGTGTCAGAACAAAAAACCTGTCACTTTATTCTCTGACTCCGGTATTTATAGATTCTCAACAATGATCAAGGATTGGACAATTAAGTTACCACCTTCCCAAGAACACTGGTCATGTGAAAAGTCCATCAAAAGATGTTTCTTACAAGGAATGTGATAAACAACTTACGTTTATAGAACTTTCATGGGAAAGTAACTAAAACCATGAAAACATTATCAGAGGTTTAATTTTCAGGGTGACACCCCTGAATCCATGCCTACTCGGCACAGGGACTGCGGCTGTGGGACACATTCCTAGGTGTGAAAGGGACTCTCACATTGAGGTGCTGGAGTGTTTCCAGAGGAGGGCAGTGAAGCTGGGGAATGATCTGGAGCTCCAGTCTGATGAGCAGCAGTCTGATGAGGGAGTTGGGGAGCTAAGCCTGGAGAAGAGGCACAGGGGGAGACCACCTCTCCCCTGAAAGGGTGAAACAGCTCCTTGAAAAGAGGGTGCAGCCAGATGAGGGTCTCCCAGGTAACTTGTTCTCCCAGTTAACAAGTGACATGACAAAAGGTAATGGTTTCAAATTGTGCTTGGGGAGGCTTAGGTTGGATATTAGGAAAAAAATCCTTCCCTAAAGAGTTGTCCAGACGAGGCACAGGCTGCCCAGGACAGTGGTAGAGTCCCTGTCTGTGAAGGGATTTAACAGACATGTGGATGTGGCACTTGGGGACATGGATTAGTGGTGGTCTTGGCAGTGCTGGGGGAATGGCTGGACTCAGTCTCAGAGGGCTTTTCCAAGCTAAATGATTCTATGAAAAACAGCCTATGTGCCAGCTGTGTACTCACCTCTACCTTTTGTGCTTGCAGGTCAAGCAGCTGGAGATAATCCAGAAGGACCAAGCTAAGCAGGTAACACACCAAGTGCTGGTTGCTCAGTGACAGTGCACAGCCCTCCTTGTTTACTACTTCCTGCTGGAGCCACCCTCTCCTCTTGTGAACTGTTCACAGTATGGACCCAGCCATGGGCCACATGGCTCTAGGTCTGTGGGCCCCTTCACCTCCAGGGGGTAACAACTGGGGTCCCATCCTGCCACCTGCCCCCTCACATTGGTGCCTGCAACTCAGCATGGCTTCTTGTATGCCCCATGGTAGCACACACAGCAAGTGGCTGCCAGGAGCATCCAGGGCTCCCCAGCTGTAGGACTGTCAGTGCTGTGATGGCTTCCCCCCAGCCTTTAGCCAAGGTCCAGCTCTTGGCACAACTGGTAGGAACAGCTGCACTCAGACAGCATGGCTAGAGCAGCACTGATCTCAGATGTAATAGGAGTTAGCACTTGGGAGACAATGCTGGAAAAGCCATATTTCCCTGCCCAGACCCAGCCAGAGCTGCCCAGGACTCTGCAGAGACCTTGTGGCTATGACCAGAGGGCTGGGGGCTCATCAGGCATACAGCAGGGAGAGCATGACCAGGCCAGAACTTGCAGCAGCCATCTAGCTGTGCCAAGAGTGCTGGATGACTTGTGGGACTCCAGGTTGCAGCACTGGGGCACTGGGAACTTAACACAGGTTTTGGTTCTAGCATGTGGCTGCTCCTTACGCTTGAGTAGTTCCAACCAGCCTTGCTGTAAGGACTAACATGGAGTTACTGTCACCTTGCTGTGTCCTGGGGTGCTGCTGAACAGTCGCCCTGTGGCAAGAAATTTCTTCATTGTGCCCCAGAGCTGACTAGAGAGGAGGGGATGTGTTCCTCCATGGGAAGATGGTAGTTTTGTGCCTGGAGCTAGCCATGTTCTTCCATGTAGTCATGTTCTTCCAGGTGGAGGAGCTGAATAAAAAGCTGATGCAGCAGGAGAAGGCCACCTGGACCCATCAGCAGAGAGTGAAGGTGAAGAGAGACCCAAAACCTGGGGGCTGAGCCCTGGAGCTGTTGGTGCTGCTAGGGGGCTCACCTGGGTTGCCTCTAAAGCCAGTCTCTTCCCTGCCCACAGGGACTGGAAGGGGAGCTGCAGGCAGGGGTCACCAGCCATGAGGAGAAGGTGGCAGAGCTGCAGGCGCAGCTCACCCAGAAGGAGCAGGCAGCTGAGTACTACAAAGGGCAGGTATGCTAGGGGCTAGCATGGCCCTGCTGTCCCTCACAGTGCAGGGAAGCTTGACAGGATTTCTCTGCTTTACATTCTAGATGGAGAAGGCAAAAAGTCATTATGATGCCAAGAAGCAGCAGAACCAGGAGCTGTCAGAGAAGCTGAAAGCCATGGAGCACCTTCAGAAAGAGAACATAGAGCTTCAGAGCAAATCGGAGAGACTGGCCAAGGAGCTACAGCAGAGCATCCTGCAGGCCAAGGAGTCTGAGATGAGCTGCAAGAATCTTACCAGCCAGATCCACAGCCTGAAAGCTCAGGTGGGCATGGCATAGTGGGGTTTCACCCTCCTTGTCCTCACCTCCATCACCACCTCACTTGGAGGATAGATCCATCCATGCCTCCCTGATTCCCATTCAGGTGGAGGCTGCCAAACAACAGGTGCAGGAACTCAGCAAGTTCCAGGTGATGACTACCACAGTAAAGGGACAGGAGTCTTCCTGCCAGAGTGTGGCCAACCAGAGCACTGATAGCCTTGATGAGGCACAGCTGCTCAGCTCCACCAGGTACCAGATCAATCTGCTTCCAGCACTCCAAAAATCCACTGTTCCTGATGGCCTGGTAAGCCTGCTGGTGCTACCCTCATCCCCTGTCTCTGCAGGAAGGCTACCAGCTCTCAGTTGGATTTCTCAGCCTTGCCATCAGACAGTGAAGAGTCACCACTGTCTCAGCGGCTGGCCCAGAGGAAGTCATCCCTGGAGAGTCTCTACTTTACCCCCATCCACTCTGAGACGCCGTCGCAGCTGAAGAGCGGCACCAACTTCCCGGGTGACTTCTCACTCGACTCCGGCTGCAAGACGCGCTCAGCCCGGCGCCGCACTACCATCAACATCACCATGACAGATGTGAGCAGGGGCCCCTGCTGGGGGATGCAGGGATCAGGAGCAGCACTTCAGAGGGATCCAGCATGCTGAGAACTGAAAACCTGAACATGACCTGTCAATATGCACTGGCAGCCTAAAGTCCAGCCATATCCTTGGCTGATCCCCAGCACAGTGAGAAGCAGGGCCAGGTGGGGATTCTGCCCCTCTGCGCCACTGTGGTGAGACCCCACCTGCAGAGCTGCTTCCAGCTCTGGGACCCCCAACAAGGAGCTGCTGGAGTGAGTCCAGAGGAGGCCACTGAGATGCTCTAAGAGCTGGAGCCCCTCTGCTTTGGAGAGGTTGAGAGACCTGGTGGCATTCAGCCCAGAGAAAAGAAGCTTCCAGGGAGACCTTAGAGGCCCTGCCAGTGCCTAAAGGGGGTCCAAAAGAGCGGGAGAGGGACTTTGGATAAAGGCCTGGAGTGATAGGATAAGAGGGAGTGGCTTCCCATTGACAGAGGACAGGGTTAGGTGGGACACTGGGAAGAAATTCTTCCCTGTGAAGGTAGTGAGGCCCTGGCACAGGCTGTCCAGAGAAGCTGTGGCTGCCCCATCTCTGGAAGTGTTCAAGACCAGATTGGATGTGGCTGGAGCAATCTGGTCTAATGGAAAGTGTCCCAGCCAAGGGAGCAGGGGGTGGAAGGAGATGAGCTTTAAGGTCTGTTCAGCCTAAACTCTTCTGCGATCCCCTCATCTGTGGGTTTTTCTCTCACAGAAACAGGCACAGTCTGAGGAACTGATCTGCATCAAGAACATCCCATTGGCTCAGTCTACAAAAACTTCTTCCCCTGCTAAAGGCCGTCTGCGCTCAGGTGCCTCCACCCATTCCCTCACCAGCTTCCCCTCCCAGGAAACTCTTACAAAGCTGGAAACCTCCTCCCCAGAGAAGACCCCTGGCAATTCAGGACTGTTGGGCCTCCCTGGGTACCGGCCAGTCACCCGTAGTTCCCTGCGCTTGAAGCAGACCAGCAGCTCCAGCCTCGGTGTGTGTGGGTGGGGTAGGCACTTGGACTGCTGGCTGTGGGCTTCTGCCCTGGCTTGCGGGAGTCAGGTCTTACCTGAGAACACCCCCCTCATCTTTCCTTGCTTTGGATTTAGGCCGGAACACCATAAACCTGGGCACATGCCAGGATGAGCCAGAGCAGCTGGATGACTGGAACCGCATTGCAGAACTGCAGCGGCGGAACCAGGCCTGCCCGCCCCACCTGAAGACCAGCTACCCCGTAGAGAGCATGGTAAGGGGCTGGACAGGGAGGTCAGGCAGACTTTCTCCAGAACTGTGGTTTGGGAGGGGGTCTAGGAATAGACAGCGCCCCTTGGCAACATCCACACATCCCCTTCCCAGCCATCCACCTCCTTGGGAACCATCACGGATGAGGACGTGAAGATGGGGGACCCAGAGGAGACGCTGCGACGTGCCAGCACACAGCCCACCCAGATCATCACCGCCGGCAGCAAGGCAGGCAGCCAGTGCAGCACCCAGGCCAGCAGCATCACTACCCGGCAGCAGCGGAAGCGCCTCTCAGAGACCCACCAGGACCCCGACACCCCCCCGGTGAGCTCAGCCCAGTGCCCCATCACAGCACTGGGAACAACAGGTGTTCCAGGTTTTGAGGGAACTTCTGTGGCCCTGTGGGTAACACCCCCAATGGCCACATGTTCCCACTGATCCTGGATCCCAGTGCCCAGTGTTCCTAGCAGTGTTGCACCACACTTGTGTTGTGTTGTACCACACTTGTGCAGTGTTGTACCAGTGGTGTGTCTGGTACTCGTGATGCTCCTAGGGCTAGCAAGAAGGCAATTCCAGAGGTGAAGGACTGAGCCTTCTGCCTTCCCTGGGCACTGCTACCCTCACCCCCATCACTGCTACCCCTGCAGCCCCTCAGTTCCCTTATTGCTGCCAGCCCCACAGCAGGGTGACCCACAGATGACAGTACTAGCTGCTCCCCCTGTTTTCCAGTCCAAGAAGCCAACCAGCTGCTTCCCCCGGCCCCAGACCACCCAGGATCGCAGTGAACAGAGCGCCTCCCAGGTCAGTCAAGAGAGCAAGCAGCCAGCCCCAGCCACACAGGTAAGCTTCAGAGGGAAAAAGAAGGATCAGGAGGGACCCCTCCATCCTGTCCCACCCTGAGTTAATGGTCCTGCCCTTCCTCTGCAGGCTCAGAGGCGCCAGTCGATGGCATTCAGCATCCTCAACACCCCCAGGGCTCTGGGGAGGCGCCTGCTGCGCCAGGCAGTCACCCGGAAGAACACTTCCACACCCTCCAGCAGCAGTGGCACCCGCCGTTCATCCCGCATCGCCACCGCCAAGTCCCCCAGGGGCCAGGTAGGTACTGCCTGACCCCCTGGGCACACTTCTGAGCTCATGCTCAGCCCAGTGCCCCCAACCCCTGCCTTGGGTTCATACTGACCATGGGGAAAAGGGGGGCCAGTCCCTACTGTCCCTGGGGTGCCAGGGCAACAGCAGGTCCCAGCACAGGGCCCTGGTCATGTCCATGGTCCCTAACCTCCCATCTTTGCTCTGTCCTTTCCAGGCCAGTCGCCAGTCACGCAAGGACAAGCAATCCTGAGGTTTCCCCAGTCCCTGCATTGCTGGCTCTGCCCTGGCCCCCACCTGCACCCCCTCACCTCTCCTTGTCTCCCCGGGGCCCAGGAGTACCAAGGGGGAAGAGGTGGGGCCACCCACATGACTGCCTTGCAGACAACTGTGGGGGTGCCCTGGGCATGGCGAGGCCCCCTTGCCCTTCCTGCACCCAGTCACCCTAAACCGTTCTGAGATCCAAGGCAAGGGGATGCACAGAGGTTGAGGGCTAGAAACACACAAGGGTGCAGAGGCTGGCACCAGGCTGTGGCTGGAAGGGCTGAGCTCTCCCCAGAGATATCCTGCAGCCTCAGTTACGGGGACAGAGGGTGAAACTTAGCATCCCTAGGGCCACCATCCCTGTTCCCTGTGTGTGGGACTTCCCTGTCCTGCTCCTCCCAGGGAAGCTGAGACAGCATTTTTAAATGTTTCTACTTGTAAATAAAGTGTATTTTTCACCTGCTCTAGGGTCCTGGCTTGTTCTTCCTGCAATCCTTATCAGGGCTTGAGGGGAGGAAAAGCATGACTTCCTCCTTGTCCTGTCGCTGTCCCCATGAACTACACAGGGTCTCCCAAGGCAGGATGGGAGGGAGGTGTACAGGGAACCTGCTGTAGCACTAAGCAGTCATAGTGCAGATTTCTGTCTTCTTTTTCTCCTTTAACTTCTAATCCAGTAGCAACTCCTGCCATTACAGTGCTTCAAACTCCACCAAACCTGGCCATGGGACTGGAAGCACCTTCTCCATCCTCACACCAGCCTTGCCACACTGTCTAAGGCCGCCTGCAGTCTCTCTCCCCTTGGAGTACTGCAGGTTCAGCCCCCAGGGGTGGTGACACAGGGTTTGTCCCTAGCTCTGCTGCCCTACTGCAGGCACTGGGGTGAGGACAGGGCCCCTGCTGTCTCCCCACAGTTGCTGGCATGCTGCTCCACCTCTGCCATGCCAAAGGGCAGCTGGCAAAGGGGACAGGACACTCAGGCCTCAGGGGACAAGAAAGGCCAGGCTGCGGAGGGGTCTTCTCTGCACTGGGAGGCGTGTGTGGGGAGCAGATCCAGCAGGAAGGAGCCTGTGGAAAGGGAAGGTGATGTTTGTCACAGGCTCACTGGTGTTGGGATGATGTGGGCTTTGGACTGACATCCTCCCGGCTGGTTTTCATGGCAGCCTGGGAATACGCTCTGCTGTCCCTCCAGTGCCAGGGCACCAGCAGGAGTGATTTGTGCCAGCTACAGAAATGCCACCACTATCCCCATTTGCTGCTCAATGTCCCCAGGCCACCAGGGGCCTCCCCTGCCAAGCACCTGGATTTATCTGCCAACAGGGCTGGGAACACAGTGCCTGTCCAGCTGCCTACAGGTGCTCGGGGGAGCTGCAGGGATATCCAGTGCAGAGCCTGGGGATGAGCAAGCACGAAGCACAAAGGACAGATTGGCTTGGAGGAGATTTTAAAGCTCATCTAGTTCCAAGCCTCCCCACTGTCAAAAGCAGCCCAGGGCTGCTGGACTTCGTGTTGACATGTCTCGAATCCACGGGTCCACACCTGCTGTAGGGTTTGCGTGGCTGTGTAGTCAGCGAAGTATCTAGTGAAGCCATCTGCGGTGTAGAAATTGTAGCTTCTTTAGGCTGTTGTTGAACTGCAACTGTGTTGCTGAGCAGTTCGGACTTCGCAGGCCCTGAGCAAAGCTGACTCTGTTGTAAAGCTGCTGTTGCTTGCTCCAGCGGTGCTTGCCAAGGCAGCAGTGCTACAGCAGCCAGCACGGGCAGCGGCTCCGCTCGTCCACTCTTCTGTCCCCCGCGCTGGGCTGGGCACGGAGGGAAGGGAAGGGAAGGGAGCACGCCTGCCTCTGACGGTCCTGGGGGTCCCGCTGCCCTCAGTGGGCGGTGCAGAGGCGCTGCGGAGGCTGCAGGGAATGCCCTGATGAGCGCTGGCCTGGGGGCGGTGACGCAGGCGGGGCATAGAGCTCCGGCTGTGCTTGCGTCACTGTTGACGTCACTGACTGGCGGCCGTGGCTGCCAGCACACCCCCGAGAGACGGGGCCGTGCCCGTGAGTGCCGAGCCGCTCTGGGCCGGGCTGAACCATCCCGCGCCTTCCCGGGGGAACGGGGCTGTCCGCTCCCCTGTCCACTCCACCCCCCTAGGGCCGGAAAAGGACTCGGCTGCTGGCGCGAAATCGACCACGGAATTTTCCCTTCCTTCTTCTGCCTGCAACAGCATGCCGAGCGCTGGAACAGCTCCAAGAGAGCCCAGATACGCTTGCAAAAGCTCCGAGCAGTCGGAACCCTCTTTATGCAGTTTCTGCCTGCGTTTTAGAAATGCCCCCACGTCTCTGCATGATTGTTTCTCTGGGCTTGCAACAGGCTTAGACACTCCCTTGGCTATGATAGCATTCAGGGAGGCTCGCACAACCTCTGCAGCTTGCGAGAATTTCGCAGCTGTCTGAGATAATAAGCCTGTTTGTCCTTTATCTGAGCCCGTATTCTCTGTTCTTCCCCCGTCTCCTGCTTCTGCCGTGTTCGAAGGAGATACTGTGTCTTGTGTGGCTTTTACCGCCGTAATTTCGTCCTTTGAAAAGATTTCCAACACTCTGGGTGTTGTCGTGAGAGCTAAAGATGTCTTGATCCCCATGGGAATTACAGAAGCCAGGGGCAGACCCAGCCTTCTCTGGGATATTCATCAGGGTATCCCTTCCTGTGTCTGGATCCATGTTAGGAAATTCTGCCTGTATCCAGGATAAAAGGCTTTTAAGCTCATCCATGGATACAGGGATCGGATGCTCCTTGCATGTATTTTCGAAGAGAGCCAAAACCTCCCTCTCAGGTTTGGACATAATGTCTCTCATATTTCTGTTTTCTTTTGATGGCTTACCTGACCTCAGGGTCAGCCTGTCTCTCAGCTCCTCTGTCCATGGTTCATCTCACAGCTAACAGATGTCTGGCTCTGGCTTCTGCTCTCACCAGCACACAAGGATGACAGAGTTCCTCCTTTTCCCCTCTCCAAGGAGATCTCCAGCTTTTCGCTGTCTTTTTTCAAAAGGGGCCTTCAGTTCAAGGTGCCACACGTTTTGGTGCCACTTCATCCTGATGGGACACTTGTGGCTGGGTTCCTTTTCCCCCTTGGACTGAGATTGATGAGAGAGGCAGTTTTCTCTTATTCAGACTCGGTTGTTTATTCTTCTCCTATCTGTATTACATGTATACAACGTACAAGGAGCTACATGCACTAAGATATAGAAAGGTGCAAAATGGCTAACAAAGAACTTAACAAAGAACTTCTTCAAGGTCTTTTATATGTTCATTTATCCAATTAACAAATGCCAAGTAAATTATTTTTCTTAGTGACCCAAAACCTATGTGCTGCACTGCGGCATTCTCTATCCAATCATTTACAACTACCCAAAAAACTCTAGTAAGAAGATGAAGAAGAAAGGAGACAACACCCTAAATCCTCCATCTTGTCTTTTGTTCTTTAAACTATCTTAAACTCTAAACTTTAACTTTTTCACCTAGTGACTCAAGAAAACTCTCTAATTTACACACTCACACTCTTAGTTTTTCCATTTAACTTTAACAGTTGTTTTCATGGTGTTATATGAAATTCAGTGGTTTTTTGTATGTCAGAGCCAGGTATCAAAGGTAAGGGTGTGATAGACACCTACTGCATGCAGGGGTGTCCAGGGGGGTCAGGATCTTTCTCCTGTGTTGTGCACAGGCAGATGAAGGAGGCCTCGAAGTGGCTGCATGGACCGAAGGGCTGGCTGCAGGTGAGCCACAAGGTGGTCCCACTTCTGCCCCACCATCAGCTCTGAGAAATCTGCTGTGGGAAGCGCAGCTGGGGTGGATGGGGCACAGCACTCATCACTGTCCCAACACCACTCCTACCTCTGCTTGTTGCTCTGTTGCTGTGCCACCCAGGACATCTGGGGGATTATGGGCACGAGAGGCTGGGGCAGCTTTCCTGAGGCCATGAACAACCCTGGTTCCCTGGTCTACTTCTCCTCTTCTACCCTCTATCAGCCACATCCTACTGCCACCCCCATTCCATCACTATCTACCCTAATCAGCTCCATCCTACCATCAGGCCACAGCTCTTCCCCATGCCTTTTTCCTTTGGCTCAGCCTACCATCAGGCCACAGCTCTTCCCCATGCCTTTTTCCTTTGGCTCAGTCTTTACCTTCCTTAAATATCCAAACCCTGCAGCAATTCTGGTCCACCTTTGAGTCAGCTGGTGGCATCAGTGTGACAGTGGGTACCAGGGTGAGATAGCGCTGGTCACAGGGCCATGAGGAACATCCAACCTCAATCTGCAGAAAGACACAGCCATACTTCCCTGGGGAGCAGCGAGAAGCACAGG